ATTTTGAATAAGTATATTAGAATATATGCCTTCTAATTTTATTATGTAATGGAACAGACACTGTAAAAATATTTTATTTAAAATAAATAAAACTTATTTATAATACTGAGATAATAATAATTTTAATTATATTATCAAACTATTCATATGAAGAAAAGGTTATATACCTCAAAATATCTAAATAAAATTTGTTGAATACATGATCATCAGTGAAATGTAGAGGTAAATTCATATTTTTTATAATGTCTCAATAACATTTATTTCATATAAAACTATAGTTTTCTTATATGTTTATATGATAGAATTAAGAACAGTGATTATTAAACAATAAATACTGTACTAATGGTGTATATAACAGTTACTATGGTACACTAAATCCCATATATATAGAATTATATTATTACTGTCAAAAATAAAGTGGTCGTTGTCACACAATAAATCTATTAATAATATATTTGAAAATAAACAATAAAATAATAAGCATATGGAAGAATAAATTAATAAATAACCTTGTGACAAATAAAAACATTAAATATAATATTAATTACATGCATTGAAATATTTTATTTAATTCACATAAAAAAATATAATATATTAATATTATTATATAAATGTTTATGATATAATTATAAAATATAATTATAATAAATATCAGAATAAATAAAAACAAAATATAGAACATGTTAATATAATGCATGAATGATACACAAGTTCCCAAAGAAATTATTAAAGCCTAAAAAGGACCCTAAAAACGAAAAACTATTCCTAAATCTTGAATGAGATATGAATGAATCTTAATGCAGAAAATATATAATTTTATTTTATAGAAAATTTATAGAAAAAAGATATATATACTTCATAACAAATATCATTAATACATGAGTGACTCCAAATGAGTATAACATATAAATAAAGTGCGTTATAAAATCTAAACTTTTAGGCATAATCCTTTAATATTTTGTTAATCATTTATAAAAGAGGACATGATAAATGATATTAACAAGAAAAATCTTTAAAGTGATATTATATATGATGAATAATTAAAATTTGTTTTATGTATATTTCAAATCTTTTGAGATTATGTTTTATGTATTTTAACTATATATTCACAATGTGACATTAATTTAAATTAAATTATAAGAACATTTTTTTATATACTTATATATAATATTTCATATATATTATGTTTTTTATTGAAATGTAATTTAAAAAATAACTTCATATCATTATTTTTTAGCCATTATTATTTTTAATTTTTGAAGAAGCAGACTCATATACATGAATAATGAACAACTAATAAATTCAATAACTTATATATTTCAAATCGAACTTTCTATATCTTTTTTTAAAATATATATTATAAGGTTTTACCTGCTATTTTAAAATATACCTTTATCCTTAAATTAACACTTTCTATATTTACACATATGATTTCAAAATTAGGTTACACATAATTATTTACGAACATTAGTTAATTTATTGTTTCTCATATTTCTTATATTATTACATGTAAAAATGCCCCCAAAAGAAGCGGATGTATGGCTACATCTATATATTTTATTTTATATATGTGTATTAATATATATGCTAAAATTAATATTTTGCAATAAAACATTTAAAATATTAGTGAATATTTAAATATTTATATTTTACATTTTTCCAATTTATCTATTCAGAAATTTACTAAAACTCATTTACCTTCAGTTAAATTTTATAAAATGCTAGATAATGATTTCTCGAAATTAGTAAGTTTCAGGGTAGAATACTGTAGTAATTTTCCTAGTACTTACGGTAGAAATAAAAAAATTAAAGAACTTTGTGTGTTATATATAAATTATTTAAAAAAACAAGACAATATATTACGTAAATATAATTACAATGAAGATTACTGTAAACTTATAAGCTATTGGGTATCTGAACGTTTATTAGAAACTAATAATATTGAACCAGATAAAAGTATTCTCGCATTCAGTGATATTCAAGATTTTTGGAGTAAAGCAACTAAACTTGATCCTACAAATTATAAGTGTTTACCTTATTCTGATATTTATAATTTCTATAATAATTGGGAAAAGGCAAAAAAACTGTATGATTACTATATCGATTTTGATGACCTTAAAAATATGACTAATAATTGTGGTGAAAAGTGCGAAGAATTATGTAGATACCTCAATGAAGCAAATGATATATATAAGAGTTATAATGATTATTGTTCTGGAAATGAAAATAATTTGTGTCCTCTTTCTAAAGATGAATATGTTAAATGCCATCCAAAGTCATTGTTAAAAATGTTTAATTGTAATACATCGACTGATGTGAAAATATTACCTCAAGAAGAACTATATGCGGAAGGATATGAAGAAGGTCCTAGTAGAGAAGGGGGTACTAGTATAGAAGAGGGTTATAGTACAGAAGCGGATCCCATTATAGAAGGGGTTCCTAGCATAGAAGATGTTCTTAGTATAGAAGAGGCTCGTAGTACTCCATTTAGTAAAGAAGATTCTAAGGAGGATTCAGAATTAATAAGAGGAGAATGGAAGCATTTAATTACATTTGGTAATTCTCTATTAGGATTAGTTCTAGCATCTATGTTATTTGGTGTTTTATATATAGTAAATGACAATTACATTAATCTATATAATGTTTATTATCCTAGTAAATGACTTTCACGTATCTCCATATGTTACAAATTATTATTTTGCACCTGCACATTATTATTCCTATATTTACAAGTTCACATACATA